CAGGCAACACGAATCAGAAAGACATTTGATTGAACAACAGCTACTCCATTCTCACAGTGCTTCCTGATAATGGACACTGAACAATGGGAAACAAATACTAACAGTGTTTTGAAAGTGAAGCAGGATCAAAAAATCAAAATTCCTATCTATTGATATCTTTCTAATGGTGAGGAGAGGAGTAAAACTTGAAGGAATTAGGGAGGTAGTTATGTGGATGTGAAGAACAACAGAGGTTCTGAATCAGGACTTGGCCTGTCATGTTGGTCATGTTGGAAGATGTCAGCTTAGCTGTGGCAATGTGAGCCATGAGAAAATGAGTTGCAGACACAGAGGGAGGAATCACAGCCTGGGCAGCATGCTGTACGCAAATGAAAGAGCAGTAGCCTATAGTCTAAGTCAAATAGTGAGTGGAGTCAGAATTTTTAGTTGAGAAATGGCATCACCTGACATAGCTTCATGCAACTATTACTGGTACATTGACTGTGGAGGGAAGGGGGAGAATGTTTATTGCAGTGTGGGAGAAAGTTGGGGGGAAAATGAAGATATCAGGGATTACAGGTAGCACTAAAAATAATTGAGAGTTAACTGTGGGTTCTGCTTCTAATTTCTAGTAATAATTTTACTATTCATTAATTAATGGAATGGTACTGGGGGTTGAATCCCAGTCAAGTTATATACTTTATCATTGAGCCAAAGTGCATGCTTTAAAGAAATAGCCTTTTTTTTTTATAATTTATTTATTTATTGAATCACTGTGGGAAAAGTTACAAAGCTTTCAGGTTTATGTCTCGATCATACAAATATCAAACACATTTCCCTTTACCAATACTTATTTTTCACCACGAAGAACCCCAATAGACCCCCACTCCCCACCCCTCCCAATGCCTGTGAGGCAGATGAATTCTAGTTAGCACTCTATCTACTTTGACTAGATTCATTGTTTCGATAAAAGATGCACCATTATTATTTAGAGTTTACACCCCCAAATCAGACATGCTGAAAAGGCATTGTGAAATGATTTGCTTTCTACAGCTGGGTTCAAAAATTAAATGATGTCGCGTGGCCATGATAGTGGCCGCATGGTTTTGGATTTCTGCTATTTTACTTATTAACCCTGGAAGTATTTCTACTGAGAGTCAGATAATTAAGAGATTGGTGTCTGTGCTCCGGGCAGATATGGTGGCGTGGATTAACGCACAGTCCGTTCACTTTTCTGCTCCAAGCTGCTGGACTCTGCATTAAGTCCTTGTGCTTCTGGAGCCATGGTCGTGCCGGAGAGCCACTCGTGCGGGGCAACTGGTGACCTCTTTAGGGGGTGGAGGACGAACTGGGAACACCCTCCTTCCCATGAGGTTTTAGTCGCCCCGTCACCACCAGCTCATACCTGGCTTTCCGCAAGGCTCCCAAGTGGCTGCCATCTTTCTTTCCAGAGAGGAGAAGGTGGAAGGGACCAACACCCTTTCCCCTCCGGGCAGACATGGTGTCATGGATTAACGCATAGTCCGTTCACTTTTCACTCCAAGCTACTGAGCTCTGCATTAAGTCCTTGTGCTTCTGTAGCAATGGCCGTGCTGGAGAGCTGCTTGTGGGGGCAACTGGTGACCTCGGTAGGGCATGGAGTATGAGCCAGGAATGCCCCCCTTCTCATGAGGTTTTAGTCGCCCTGTCACTTCTGGCTCATACCTGGCTTTCCACAAGGCTCCCAAGAGGCTGCCATCTTTCTTTCCAGAGGGGAAGAAATAGCCTTTTAATTAATTAATTAATTCACCCCTCCTCTTATTTTTTACATTGCCAATTATTGAACTCAGGGCCTCACATATGTAACCAAAGATTCTACCATTGTGCTACATCCCCAAGTAAAGGGTTTGGATGTGGGTTGTGAAAAAAAAAGCGGTCAGTCAGAGTTGATTCTAGAATTTTTGCCTAGTGACTAAGAAAGCTGTCTTTGGCATTATCAGATGTTGAAGAATTTGAGAGGAGCAGCTGTAAAAGAGAGGCTAGGATTCAATTTGGGCTTGCATGTTAAACTTTAAGATATCTATTAAAAACCCGAGGGCAAGAATTTAGAAAGTTGTTGAAGGATACTTCATCTATAAGGAGATGATCTTAGATGAGGACAGAGAAGGGGATTTTACACTCATTCTGAACCCAATTTCGGAGAGCCTGGCAAGCTACCGAGAGTATTCGATATGCCAAACACAGTAACAACAAAGTCTCCAATGGAGACGTTACTGGGCCCGCTTGCGCAAATCGACGATCAACGGGAGGGCCTTTACCTTTACCTTTACCTGAACCCAATTAAAGTGTGCTGAGAATAATTAAAGGAGAGAACAAGATTTAACCTACTGTTCAAAACAATTACATTGTTCTTGTGCTATGTAAGTATTTTTTTTTCTATTGGATGGATGGAACAAAATTCATTTGTTGTTACAAGAATATTTATTGAGTTAGAATATTGTTTATCAGAGTTGATGTTCAGCCCCCCAGGAATGCTAGAAATGTAGCCTCAAGTGCAGTTGGGGGTGCATTCTGTTTGTTTAAAGAGAGCAGATTTACAGGGAGGTGCTGATTGATTTTTTTCTGAGAAGAGAACTGTAGCTAAATAATTTCAGGAATCTCTGATTTAGAAGATTAAATGTTAATGTTTAATAAAATATATAATGACATTGTTACCTATGAACATGAGTAATGACTGATTTAATAAAAAGCAGATGGTGGAGCTATTAAAAAATTCTTAGAACTCTAAAAGTAATTCAGCATAGTCACTTTATTAGTCTCTTCGAAAAGTTGCATTTTGTCATGTATAAAATCACCAGTGTGGGAATCTTTGTTTTATATTGATTTAGAGCTCATTAGAGCATACCACACACGTTATTTATTTATTTTAATTAGTGAATCACCTTGAGGGAATAGTTACAGACTTATGAACTTTCGTGTTTGCATTATAGTCATACAATGATCCTTTACCCATACCTCCACCAGTGCCCATTCTCCCCCACCAATGTTCCGAGCATTCCTCCCACCACCCCCACCACCCCACCCGCCTCAGCAACAGGGCATTCCCTTTTATTCTCTCTCCTTTTGGGTGTTGCAGTTTGCAATAGAGGTATTTAGTGGCCATTGTGTCCAGTCTGTAGTCTACTTTCAGCACGCATCTGTGTGAAAATGGCACTTCTGTGTTGGTTTCATTAAAAGAAGAAATAAAAAGCATCTATCACAATGGAAGACTTCTTGATAGGTTAAGTTGATGTATGTTTCAGTAAGGGAATGCACATTTTATCCGTGTACAGAAATTCATTTTTAATATTTAGTTATGCAAACTAATAAGCCTTCATTTAACATTTGAATCTTTAAAATGCATTTTATTTTTCTCTCATTATATTTTCTACTTCAGTACAAAATAATGCATGCATAATTTATATATTCAAATAAATATTTTTTAAAGGAAATGAAAAGCCTCCTCCACAGACATACCTATTGTTATCAAACAGTTGTGTTCCTTGGTTACATTAAGGTCTATCTGAATAGTCTTATAATTAAGTTGGCTGTTATATTACATAGGACCAACTGAGCAAATAAATGGATCTGGGTCAACTCATATGACCTGGCAGCTCACCCAAAATTCCTAAAGACAGAACAAGGGTAATTTTGTGGGAAACACTTTGGAAATATGGGGCTAAGAAAAAAATAGAAAAGAGCAATATTTTCTTCAGAATATCTGATAAAATTTGCCCTTTCCTTCTCCTGTATATGTTAACCTTATACTTATGCTCTGTCTAAAAAATTATTAAAGATAGTTTAATATTTTTTCATGTAATTAAAAAAAATTAAGAACTGAGGATGTCATTTTAAACTTAACAAAGGAATTTTTGAAAATTAAAATTTTACTCTTCCTCATGTTCTTCTTAATTGAACTATGTATGCTTTTTGTACATAAAAGTTAGAATGAATGAGTATACAGAAGTACATGCAGTAATTCTGACATCTTTAAAGTGGCATAATTTAGACTCATAAAATTCACTCATTTTAGTTATAAATTTTAATCATTCTTTAAATATAGGTAATACAGACGAAATCTAGTTAGAATATTTCCCATTTCTATTTTTAGTTTCAAGAAGTTACTACTTCCTATATTTTTCCCTAAACACTGTCTTTAAACCAAATTCTATAGTATAAAGTCATTCACAGATAATTTTCTTCACCATGTTTGCCATTTATACAGTAACATGCATCATTATTTTCATTTTCTTGCTGAATAGTATTCTATTACACTCTGCTTTTTATGTGACAGGTCTTATAGTCTTCCAGTATCTTATAGTCTTCCAGTATCAGCTATACATTCAAATATATTTTTACAGTTCTACTTTTTAAAAGATTAGTTGTAGTGTTATTTGTAATGTTATTTTAATAACTATTTTGTGGACATATATCGGTTTCAATATTGCTCTTTTTTATGGCTTTATAGCTTATTAAGAGTAATTGATCCATTGAAAGACTCCTTTTGAGAGTCACTTGGCAATTTTTAATCCTAAGGTCTACAATACACATATAACACAATACTTTATATGAAGTACATGTTTTATTTATACATGTTTGTATCTATGTTTTTATTAAAATTCCTCTTTCTTGTGTCTAGAAAAAGAGACTAATGCTATTTGACAAGCAAACACTTAGCAATTTCTGGTCTTTATTTTTGATGTTTTCAAAATGTTTTTTAAGTCACTCATGAAATGCAGTCTGTTCATTTTGCATGATGTTCAAATATGCTTTATGATATTTTGTGTCTGATTTGTTTCTAATAATCAAAATAATGTTTAATCTGGTTAGTATATAAAAATCTTAAAAACTTATTATATTTTATATAAAATGTATTGCAAGATAGCTTATCTCATTTATTGAATTAATTTGTGAAGTGTATTTTGGCTGTCAAAAGAATAATGGTGGAGAAGTAATGTGACCAGTTTGCAAGGTATAATTTTAATGTACATTTGTTTCTTTAGCATTTGTGGAATTCAACATCTGGAACGAATAGGAAAGAAGCTGAATCTCTTTGACTCCCTTTATTTCTGCATTGTGACCTTTTCTACTGTGGGTTTCGGGGATGTCACTCCTGAGACATGGTCCTCCAAGCTTTTTGTAGTTGCAATGATCTGTGTTGCTCTTGTGGTCCTACCTATACAGGTAAACATAACCATGTTACATATTATAGAAATTTGCAAGTGTTACAAAATCAGAATTTCTATTTTTGATATTAATATAATTTTGGAAAATTTTGTAATATAACAATATACAAATATGTGCTAATATCATGTTTAATAAGGGTATAGCAATATCTCAGAAATATCTCTCTATAGGGATAAACATGGTCTTCCTAGCTTATTTTCCTTCCTGATATCCCTCCCAAATAGGTTATACATTTCCTTGTATGCCAGCTAATATACAAATAGAATGTTTTTTTGTGTGTTGTAAGGGTTTCTCTTGTTACATTAGTTGTAGTTTGTACTTTACACAAGAATGTGGAAGAAATGACAAAGGTTTTCTCTTTTACTTATCACATGAAACATGATTATATTTTACTGCACAGAAAGCGGAGGCACAGCCCTCTTAGTATTATATTATGATATAATAAGAAAATCATATTAAAATATTTCCTTAGAAACTTAAAATCCCTGGGAGTCATTAGCATCCTCGGCAGCAATTTTATGAAGTCTGTTGTAGAATGGAGCACAGGTAATACCAATCTCTATGAGTTTCCTCTAAAGATGAACATACCTAATAATCAGTCAATATTTTGCATTGATTTTTATTTTCATGTCCAGTGATTTTCATTTATATGTGAAAAATGCATTACAGTTTGAACAGCTGGCCTATTTGTGGATGGAGAGACAGAAGTCAGGTGGTAACTACAGTCGACACAGAGCTCAAACTGAAAAGCACGTTGTTCTGTGTGTCAGCTCATTGAAGATTGACTTACTTATGGATTTCCTAAATGAATTTTATGCTCATCCAAGATTACAGGTACATTTTAAAAATAGCATTCCCTGTGCTGCATCATACCTGTTCATGTGGTCTCAATGTCAGCCTATATTATATATATTATTATGGTGGCAGCCTACGTTATGGAGGATTTTTAATTTTGCTTTCATATTTAGAAAATAATTACAAGTCTAACAAAGAACATAGAAATAATGCTGAAGGGATCCTCAGTATCTTAAGTTTCCTTCTATATCTACATGGAAAGACAGATGGAATTATTTCAATGCCCCTAAGAGAGGATTTCTTTGAATTAAGAGAGTTACTTTTATTCCTCCCTAGGATAATGCATATATGCTGTTTTTATGAAGCAGTGGAGTTTAACATAAAATAGAATAAAGCAATAAAAAAAGCACTTCAATATCATCTGCTTGCTTGAACAGTTCAGAATTTAATCAAGTATTGTTGCTAACAGTATGGAAATCTGCAAGTTACATTTTTTTCTTTGGTTTCCAGGACGATAGCTAGATCCTATTTATAGTAGCAACAAATGACCACACATTGGACAATAACTAAGTTAAGAACATTTGGAGAAATCCCCCCACCTGTCCATAGAGAGAAATTCCACTGTTGCATCTCCTTTGCTTGGTAGTATGCCAATGTAGATTTGTGTATACTTTATTTTGTATTTAATACCTTTAATTTAGTTCAAAGACTAAAGTGTTCTTTAAATTCTTTGTAATTTTTAATTTTTTTATAAACTTGTAAGAAGTTTGACAATCCTGAGAACAAGATGGTACTGAATATATACTGAATATATCTAATGATGTTTTCTTTGTAAAGATACTGTTATGAGTAATTTGAAGATCATTTAAAATCTTTTATATTAAAAGTCTAATTTAAGTTAATAGGTAATTGCATACTATACTATTTTATTTCTAGCAAAATAATTTGCATATTTAGTAAACTATATTTAAAAAATTCTTTTTAGGTTTTTGGGTCAGAACTGCGAGTGCTCAGGCTTTACTCATGGCTCAGTGCTCAGGGATCACTCCTGGCGAGATTGGGGGAACTAGCTGGGGTGTTGGGGATCAAACCTAAGTTGCCCTTGTCCAAGTCAAGTGTCCTACTTGCTATGCTCTCTCTCCAATCCCTCCATATTCTTGTTAGTGTTTAAAGAATTATTAGTATTAAGTGATTTTAGTTGTGCTCATTACAACCCATAAAGGAAGCCTATCATGGAAAATATTTTAAACTCAAAATATGATTAGTAATTTACTTGTTTAACATTAATATTAAACATTAATAGAGAGGATATTTGCTCGAGTGGGCCCAGTAACGTCTCCATTGGAGACTTTGTTGTTACTGTATCTGGCATATCGAATACTCGAGGTAGCTTGCTGGGCTCTCCGAGAGGGGCGGAGGAATCAAACTCGGGTCGGCCATGTTGGCTGCTTGTAAGGCGAATGCCCTACCCGCTGTGCTATCGCTCCAGCCCAAAGGTAAAGGCCCTCCCATTGATCGTCAATTTGCTCGAGCAGGCCCAGTAACGTCTCCATTGGAGACTTTGTTGTTACTGTGTCTGGCATATCAAATACTCTCGGTAGCTTGCTGGGCTCTCCGAGGGGCGGAGGAATCGAACTCGGGTCGGCCATGTTGGCCGCTTGTAAGGCGAACGCCCTACCCACTGTGCTATCGCTCCAGCCCCTAAAGGTAAAGGCCCTCCCGTTGATCGTCGATTTGCTTGAGCGGGCCCAGTAACGTCTCCATTGGAGACTTTGTTGTTACTGTGTCTGGCATATCGAATACTCTCGGTAGCTTGCCAGGCTCTTTACCTTTACCTTTACCTTTTTAATAGAGAGGATTATTAAAGTCCCCAAATTATATATATGTGTATATATATAAGCATATATGTATATACCTTTTGGCATTGCCAAGGATAGATTTTTGAAAGGGCCAGGCCAAGGCCTCCTCCTGGCTGTGCTGAGATCACTCCTAACGGTGGTCTGAGGACTCTATGCAGTGCCAGGGATAAAACTAGGGTTACTCCATGCAGTGCAAGTGCATTATCCCCTGAACTATGTCTCTTGCTTCATGGATAAATGTCATTTGAAATGGAAAAGTAATGTTTAAGAGAGATTTATGTCTTTTAGATTATTATTTTATTTTATTTATTTGTTTTTTGTCTCAAATCAAGAAGACTTTATTCGCTGGCCATTGACTGCTCTCTTCAGCCCAGCCTGGATGAGAAAGAAAGGCAGCTCTGAGTGTAAAAAAACAAGCATTTTTTGGTTTGTTTTTAATTTAATTTTTTATTTTTAAATGAATCACCGTGAGGTACAGTTATAGACTTACAAACTTTCATCCTTATGTTTCAGTCATACAATCATTGAGTACCAATCCCTCCACCAGTGTCCATTCTCCCCCACCAATGATCCCAGTATCCCCACCACCACCCCACCCCAATTCCCCCCTCCCCACCCCACTTCTGTAGCAGGGCATTCCCTTTTGCTCTCTCTCTCTCCTTTTGGGTGTTGTGGTTTGCAATAGAGGTATTGAGTGGCCATTATGTTCAGTCTATAGACTACTTTCAGCTCGCATCTCCCATCCTGAGTGGGCCCTCCAAGCATCCTTTTAAAGCTATTTCTTCATATGTGTGTTGTGTGCAGAGTTGTGTGGGGAGAAATACTCAGTGGTACTCTGGCTTACTTCTGGCTCTGCACTTAGAGAGCACTCCTGGCTCAGCTCCAGAGTCCATTTGGTGTGCTGGAAATTGAACACGGATTGGCCATGTTCAAGGCAAGCACCCTACCCAATGTACTCTCTCTGCAGTTCCTATTTTAAGCTATTTCATCTCTAATAGTACATTCTTATTTTTTTGCTGAAGGACCAATATATTAAAATATTTCTATTTTGCCTATTTATAATATTAATCATAGAAATAACTGCTATAATTTTATTCTAAAAGTAACAATATGAGGGGATAGGCATGTGGTTCAAGTTCAAGGGCACAGCATATATCTTGCATGAGTGGAGCCCTGGGTTTGACACGGCCACTTGAGTATCTTCTCATCACTGGTATGTGTGGCCCTGGTGCTCCTGAGCAGCACTGTTTGAGCAACATTGCACTGCCAACCAAGGACAGCCAGGACTGATATCTACAAATATATATATATATATACTTTTTTTTCTTTTAAAGAAATAATACTGTAGCACTGTTGTTCATCGACTTGCTCGAGAAAGCACAAGTAACATCTCACAACAAATTGTGAGACTTGTTTTTACTGTTTTTGGCATATTGGATATGTCACAGGTAGCTTGCCAGGCTCTGCTGTGTGGGCAAGATACTCTCGGTAGTTTGCCGGGCTCTCCGAGAGGGGCAGAGAAATTGAACCCAGGTTGGCCATGTGCAAGGCAAACATTGTACCTGCTGTGCTATCACTTCAACCCTATAAAGAAATTCATCGATTGCCTCGAGCAGGCCCCAGTAATGCCTCCTTCGTCCTAGCCCTGAGATTTTTTTAAAAAGTGCCATATTCAAGGCTCTTTCAGAGTTAGGAGAATGAGACCCATCATTGTTACTGGTATTTGGCATATTGGGTACGCCACAGGGAGTTTGCCAGACTCTGCCGTGTGGGCAGGTTACATTCGGTAGCCTGCCAGTTTGTCCAAAGTAGGAATGAGATAATACGATGTTGCTTCCGGGAGCTGGGTTTTATAGTCTCTGAGTCTTGGCCGTTGATGGGATTACATGGCGCCAGGGGGCCAGTTGGTGGGTGTGACCCCCCCGCCTACTGGAATTTGGAGGATCTGGGTGGAGTATGCTCAGCCCCGATCCGAGTAGGCTTGGAGATCTCAGTCCCGGGACCCACAAGCCTTTGTTCCTCTGCCAGTACCTTCATGTGTGCAGAGAGTGGTCTCAGCATGGTGGTGGCTGGTTCTGGAGGTATTCGGCTGAAATATAAATATAAAGAAATAAGTGAATAAAAGTAACAAGTTAAAGCATGAATTAAACTTAAACACATTGTCAAAAATGCAATATGTATCTTAGGAGCTCTAAATTATGATTGTCAACTTCCTTTGCAATTCTAAAATTGCTGAATAGATCCTGTCATTACCCTTTCTTCATGGCACCTAATAATACTAAAATAAGTCAGGGGGACTGTGTCAAAGTGCCTTCATTATGTTTAGTATTGTTTTCTATCATTTAATGTTATGTTCAGGTTTAAACTGCAAACTTTCATTTAGTAACAAGGAATTTCTGATTATTATACACCAAAGTGTTCTAAGATATTCTGTTTAGCTATATAGTGTCAAACAAAACATCATGCATTTCTATCACATTGCCCACTTTGTTTTGAATAGGATTATTATGTGGTGATTTTGTGTCCAACTGAAATGGATGTGCAAGTTCGAAGGGTCCTACAGATTCCAATGTGGTCACAGAGAGTCATCTACCTTCAAGGTTCAGCTCTTAAAGACCAGGATCTCTTGAGAGCCAAGTAGGTATCTCTTTGTGTTTGCCTATCTTGCAGTGCCTTAGCATCGTTTTTTCCTCTATAAAATTTGGCAACTTTCATTGTTGTAATATAAATTTCAGTATTTTTAAATACAGAGTTTTTGCCTAATCCTCTTCTGGTCAAAATGAAAGGTTAAAAATATAGAATTAGTGTCTTTCCTCCTCTTTCTCCATGTGAGACTGTTCAGCAAACTATGTCCACTACACACCAGAAATACAGCATGGTATAATTATTTCAAGCAGCCACAGATAAGTGGAGTTAACTAGACTCATTGTTAGAGTTGAAATCTCTGAATAGTGTCTCCATTTCACAAATAATTTTTTTTATATAATGTAGGAGTACTGCTTCTTATTCAGCCATTGATCAAGCTGATTGAATTGGGCATGAACTCCACATTACTTTTTTTTTAAATTAAATCATCGGGAGATACAGTTACAAAGCTTTCATGTTTGAGATTCAGCCCTTCCATGATTGAACACCCATCCCTTCACCAATGTACGCTTTCAACCACCAGTGTCCCCAGTACATCCCTACCCCCAGCCCATCCCAGTTCTCACCCTGTCCTCCATGGCAGGCAAACAAATAAAAATTCTTGGGTTAAACAGTGTTGGAGATACCAAAGAAGTTTGAATTTGGGCTTAAAATTTAAATAGGGTGCCTTGTATACTTGGTAGAGAACATTGTGTTTTCTAAGGTCAGAGATGACAGAATCTTTGATGGACAGAGGGAAGATAAAATGGGGAATCTTATTTAGATGCTCTTTTCTTGTTATCTTTGTGCCAAGAAAGCTCCCTTAGAGGGGGTATACTCTTCACTGTTTTCCACTGGCCGGGGGCATTCCACAAGAGCAGAGTGGTTGGACCAGTCAAGGTCAGCAGGAAATCAGGGCAATAGAAAAACATTCCTAGTTTTTGAAATTAGACTAGATCCTTAGCATCGATGACTTCATTCTGTTATGTATTGCTTTTAAATATGTAAATACATCTTCATGGTTTTCCTTTAGATGTTTTATATGCTTTTCTAGATTTAAAAGTCTCCACTGAATTTATTAGCATTATGTCTTTTAAAGAACATTTTTGTTCTGGATGAAGAGTATGTGTGTTATTGGGGATGTCTGTGCTTTTCTTGGTGTGTTTTTCATGCCTATCCTATATTTGTATACATTTATGTGATTGCAAAATGAAAAAAAATGGCCAAAACTCTCCAGCCCTTTTGCTGCTTGAGCCTGCAAGAAATGACATGCTACCTCATAATACTGGGAACTCTGACATTGCTTTTGATTCATGTATAATTGGTCAGCCTAACTGAGACTTTTTCAATGATATAATAAATACTTAAACTAAAAGTCAGTAGGAATGTTGTGATAAAATACAGGGTATAAAATTGGAAAATTTAGTTGTTTGAGGATATATTGGTGTTTTAATAGATTAAATGCATAATAGATGTCATTGCATATGTGATAGTTCTATAATAAGTTATATTTTGTCAATCTCTTAATCAAAACACAACTTTGACTGTTTGTTATTTATTATCTCTACTCATTATCTGGAAAAGCTAAAGAAACAATGTTTATGGTGCTGGAGTGATAGTTGAGCGTGAAGGTGCTTATCTTGCACTTGGTACATAAGAATTAAATTCTTCATGTTCAAGAGTGAGTAATGCCCATGTTATGTTACACATGACTGATAAATGAAGTCCTTACTACCAAATTTATTGATATATAAGTATCTTAGCTATATATAATTTTAAATTAATATCACTCATTAATAAAATTGGTGAAGTTTATAGCAAAATAAATAAAATGCAAAATGCATTCCTCCATAGTGATAAAAATGAAAATGAGGGGCTGTTCAATGGGGAGGATATTTTTCTCGCCCAACCCATTTCGATACCTAGCACTACATATGGTCCACTGAACTCCACCAAGAGTGAGTTCTGAGCACCACTTAGTGTGACCTAAAAAAAACAAAACCAAAACAAAACAAAACAAACAACAAATAAAGGAAATGATGGAGGATGGAGAAGGGAACAAGCTGGTGATAATTTTAAAATACTGAGTAAAGAAATTAAAGTGACAGAGAATTCATTTACTATTCATTTCATATCTAATACAATTGGATATTTGGGATTTAAAATTAACTCAGATATTCCTTAGCATCACTTACCATTCAAGAAACAATAAGTATGATTCTCTAGACTGGTTCTAAAGGTCAGTTGCATAAGTTTTTGAATCGCTTATTGAGGATGGTGTTTAGAAAATGTTATGCAACACTTAATTTCTTAATGACTGTGCTTCAATATTTTCCCGAATTGTTTGGTTTGGTCTACTTCCATGGACTTTTCTCTTTACTGTCCACAAAATTGTTTTTTTTTGGCATAAGTTTTATTTTTATTTTGTAATAATGAATCAGAAAGTTGAACCACTTTGTTTGAAAATAAACATGTTTATGTTTTAGAACATTATTAATCAGGCACAGAAACATTTTCTGTATTATTAAATTTAATATAGTTGCAAGTTGCATGAGAGGCAGAGGTTTGGAACAGGATGTTAAATCACCTCTAGAATAAATGTAGAGATTGCTAACTCATCCAGAGTCCTCTGTCTACTTGAAACGTTACAGTTAAAAAGTAATCGATTATAAAATAAAGGATAATTCAAATATCTAGTATAATAAGTATGTATGGAAACAATTTTTGACATAAGATTTTACTCCTGCTACTATAAAATATTAAATCATATAATAATTCCACAGCAATGGTTTTGTTTATAGCTAAGTAGAAATGATCTGCTAAAAATGCAATTTTTTTTTAAAGTTTAAAGTTACTTTGTGTGCACTGGGCTAAGGACTGATATTTTGTCTGTCAAGCACTGCAAAGCACACAAAAGCACAATCACTGTATGATTATTTTCTATCTTTTTTATTTGTATTCAGGATGGATGATGCTGAGGCCTGTTTTATTTTGAGCAGCCGTTGTGAAGTTGATAGAACATCATCTGTAAGTTTCACAAATTGTTTTGTGTAATTTTTTTAAAAATCACATTAGGACTCTTAAGTCTGCTAAGACAAAATACATGTGAAATTCTGCTAAAAAAAAGCAAAAATTTCTAAATTAAAATAGTTTCTACTAATCTTTGAGTTTTCTTTTAATCCAAATGGAATGAATCTTGTGTAAACAGAACTAGATCATTTTAATCAATATATTCTATGCTATATAATTTTGAAAATTAAACTCAATTTTCTCAAGTCAGAAACAATGCAAATAGATAAAGCAGTTTGCATTTCAATTACTTAGAGAATTTCAAAAAATATGCTCTTGTGAAATACCTACTCAGAATATGTGGGTTGAGATCAAATAGCTGTGTATTCCAAAAAGATTTCCAGGTGAATTTGAGCCATGTTTCAATTTGTTTACATCTATCTAGTTTTCTCATGTCTAAATTTTTGAAACTTATAACCAAGTTGTATAATTTATTATTTTATAACTTTTACTTGAAAAGTTTTAAAAATTATTTTTAGATTTCAAAATTATTATTATTATTATTATTATTTTAAGGTATCAGAAATTAATTCCAGAACTTCATACGTGCAAAACATATACTCTGGGTGTGGTGTTGAAATTATGTGCATGGAAAACCATTATTAACAGTATTTTTTCCCTTTATTTTATTATATATTTTTTTAAAGTTGTAGATTTACAATTTTTTGTGCTTTGGTTTCAAGTATACAATGATCAGATACCCATCCCTCCACCAGTGCCCATTTTCCACCACCATGGATAATATCCCTCCCACCCCCATACCCCCATCCCCCCTGTCTCTGTGGCAGGGCAATCCCCTGTGTTCTCTCTCTCCTTTTGGGTGTTGTGGTCTGCAAAAGAGGCATTGAGTGGCAAACATGTTCAGTCCATAGTCTACTTTCAACATGCATCTCCCCTGCTGGGAGGATCCTCCAAACATCCTTTATTTGGTGCTCCCTTCTCTATCTGAACTGCCCTTTCCTCTAGGATACCCGGCTGGCCTCTAAGTTATGGAGTAATCCTCCTGGTGCTGATCTCAGCTATTCTTGGGTATTAATCTCATACTTTGTTACTTTATATCCCCCAGATGAATGCAATCTTTCTGTGTCTATCCCTCTCTTTCTGACTCATTTCGCTTAGCATGATACTTTCCATATTGTACCACTTGTATGTAAATTTCATGACTTCATCTTTTCTAACAGCTACATAGTACTCCATTGTGTAGATGTACCAAAGTTTCTTTAACCAGTCATCTGTTCTTGGGCATTCAGGTTTCGTCCAGTTTCTGGCTATTGTAAAGAGTGCTGCAATGAACAAACAAGTGCAGATGTCACTTCGACTATATATTTTTGCCTTTCTGGGATATATTCCCAGGAGTGGTATTGCTGGGTCAAATGGGAGCTCAATTTCTAATTTTTTGAGAATTGTCCATACTGTTTTCCAGAAGGGCCGAACCAGTGGACATTCCCACCAACAGTGAAGGAGTGTCCCTTTCTCGCCACATCCACGCCAGCATCGGTTGCTTTTGTTCTTTTGAATGTGGGCCAGTCTCTGAGGTGTGAGATGGTATCTCATTGTGGTTTTGATCTGCATCTCCCTGATGATTAATGATGTGGATGCAAAACATATACTCTGGGTGTGGTGTTGAAATTATGTGCATGGGAAACCATTATTAACAGTATTTTAAACCACAGAATTTCAATCAACAAAGAATTAAAACAACAGATATAAACAAGTGTTCTACCACTGAACCTCTTCCCAGGTTTTAAAATATTTTTTTAAAAGTACTTTATTATTTCCTGCTGAGTAGGGGCTATTAACTGCAACCCATCTCTCACCTTAGAGATGTCCCAGTTAACAAAAAGTATCATGTTTCTGGTTAGTATAATTTGGTGGTCATAGAAGTGCTAATACTGTTACTTGATATGGAAAACATTTTTAGGGGTTGGTGTGATAGTACAGCTTGGGATGTGCTTGCCTTGCTTGTGGCTGACCCTGGGTAACCCCAGAACCCTGTAAAGTTCCCTGAGTCGCCCAGGAATGTTTCTTTATTTTCTTTTGCTTTTGGGGTCCGGCGATGCACATGGGTTATTCCTGGCTCTGCACTCAGGAATTACTCCTGGCGTTGCTGGGGGGACCATAGGGGATGCTGGAAATCAAACCTGGGTCTGTCCTGTGCAAGGCTAACACCCTACCCACTGTGCTATCACTCCAGCTCCTGGGAATGATTCTTAAGCAAAGAGGCAGAAGTAAGCCCTGTGTGTGGCCCCAAAACAAAGCACTGTCCTCCTGTTGTTCATCAATTTGCTCCAGTGAGCCTAGTAATGTCTCCATTTTGAGACTTGTTATTACTGTGTTTGGCGTATTGAATATGTCATTGGTAGCTTGCCGGGCTTCGCCATGCGGGTGAGATACTCTCGGTAGCTTGCGGGGCTCTCCAAGACAAAACATAACAAAACACAAGAACAAAATTTATTTAAAAAGAAAAACATTTTGAGTATTTCCAGACCTCCCGTCATAGTAACCTCTTGAGTTACTCCAAATAATGAGGTTCCACTCTGGCCTAGAGGAGGAAGCCTGTGAATCTGGTGCCCAAACGAATGAAAACCTTGCCAACTTTTCTAATGATGGGAAAAGACCAGAGTGTGCCTGGTCCTTCAGGGACACATTTTGCCCTTTTCTGGAACATCAGTGAGTGTTATGTGTTAAAGTTCTGGTTTTGTGTCATCCTCACTCCAATTTACTGAGACAACTTTCCTACACATTTTGAAACTAGTTTTCTCATGCTTCTTCTGAAAGGGATGGCTTCATTGTGTGCCCACAAAACTCCATTGGGTTTATAGCACTTCAGGTACCTTGAAACATAATGCTAGTTGATGTAAAATTCTTAACAGAGGCAGTTGAGTTAATAATTAACTCATTAGGATGGAACTCAATCTCACAGGAGAATTTACCTTTTGGAAAGTTTGCATCTGGGGACAGATGTTCAGGACAATGCAAAGCATAAGCCAGGGCAAAGGTCTAGTACATACCATTTCCTGTCAGCCATTACAAAACCTGAATTTTACATTTCTGGCCAGATAAGATTGTGGACAATAAATTTAAAGCCAACCATTCAGTTTGTGGTACTTTTTTTTTGCAGCCCTACCAAACAATCTGTTTTCAAACTTGGCTGTCCACCAACATCTGCAATGCTTTTGTGTTACAAGGATATGTGCTTGTAGGGTGAAAGTTTGGAAACAAGTGCACAACATTTTAAAATATTCCCTTCCCAATGTGAATTAGATGCAGTTAAAAAACTGCATTTTCATTAATATAGGTTGACAAATAGTGTTGCAGCCACTATTAGATCAAGAGAATCAACATGGAGATTCACATCGGACTGACAATAGTTAAAAAGCAAACAAGTTTTATGTCATTTTAAAAAGCAAATAAGAGTGTGAACTCAATTACTCTGAACCCTTACAGAGAAATATTTGATAAATAAATAAGATTGAACGTATTTTTAAAAAAATTCCTGCCTATTAATTCCAAGGATAATTATGAAAGTAATTCATAAAATGTTTCTGATTTTCTAAGAACAAAATAAGTCTTTACATGTTTGTTTAAAAACGAGCAGTTCAAAAATAATTTTTACTAGGCTGATTTCATCTTGTAGTATGTTCTCACTATCGCGATTGTGACCATCCTGTTGTTTATCGATTGCCTCGAGCAGGACCCAGTAACGTCTCCTTTGTCCTAGCCCTGAGATTTTTTTTTTAAAAGTGCCATATTCAAGGCTCTTTCAGGGTTAGGAGAATGAGACCCATCATTGTTACTGGTATTTGGCATATTGGGTATACCACGGGGAGTTTGCCAGACTCTGCCGTGTGGGCAGGTTACATTCGGTAGCCTGCCAGTTTGTCCAAAGTAGGAATGAGACGATAAGATGTCGCATGCCCACAAATGCGGCCACGCGCTTCCAGGAGTTGAGTGTGGAGAGTGGTCCCAGCATGGTCTTGGCTGGGGCCCGGAGGTCTTCAGCTGTTGGGCCCTGGTGGAGACAGTCAGGCACAGGGTAGGAGACTGCCTTGTTCTCTCCCGGGAGCTGAGTGTGATAATCTCTGGATCCTGGCCGTTGTCGGGGTTATACGGCAGTTGGTGGGTGTAACTGTCTAGCTACTGGCAGGTCCAGTCCCAAACCGTGCAGGCTTGGAGATCTCAGCCCCGGGTCCCACACACCTGGGTACCTCTGCCAGTTCTTTTATGCGTGAGACTCATCCAAGTGTGTGGAGAGTGGTCCCAGCATGGCCTTGGCTGGGGCCCAGAGGTCTTCAACTGTTGGGCCCTGGTGCAGACAGTCAGGCACAGGGTAGGAGACTCTGCCTTGTTCTCTCCCGGGAGCTGAGTGTGATAATCTCTGGATCCTGGCCGTTGTTGGGGTTACACTATATGTTCTCACTATATCTGTGCAAATTTAAATCAGGATTATTTCTTATATGGAAAAATGCTTGAAAACCTGTGTATTTGATTTTTCTTTTATAAATTAGCTATGTTTTTAAAAGTGGCTCTAAACAATGCTGCTAGATTATAAAAATGTTCTTTTGTATTATTTTCTTTGACAGTTAAATCTTTACAAAATTTTGACTGCTCACTGTTTAAACAGTACATTTTATCTATTAGTGCTGATAATGCAAAATGTAATTAATGAGTTCCTTTGTTATTCTAATGATTGTTTTATAACCAGGCAAAATGCCATCAGTAGTTTGTGTACCTTTTTCCAGATTAGAGAGAGAGTGGGAGTTGTGAATAATGGCGAGATGAAAAACGAATAGGTATTTCAAGGGATTCTGCTTTGGACTTAGTAATACTTTAAAAATAAATGTATTCCCCTCCCATAAATTTTATATAATTTATGAAAGAATGGAATGGTACTCATAAATTTGAAAGTGCCACTTAGTAATTTTTTCCTTTATATTGAATTCCCTGAGGTCAGATAT